TCAGTTTCAGTTCAGTTATATATGCTAAGATCATGATATTGTTATTATTTTCAATGACATTAGTATGAGTTTCTGCGGAGCACAAGTGTTTTAGTGCTCACGCCCCCACGCATTTCATGTTTTTTAGGTCGCAGGGTCGGAGATGAGGAGTGAGCTGGCGGGCAGTTCAGGATATTTTGTGGATATGTATATATGTGTTTTGCCACGCTTTTATTTCCGCTAAACTATCAGTACTTATTTTCAACGTTTGGTCCGACGTTAGTCGGATAAGACATTATAACCGTTTTTATTTATCAGTTTAAAAATTTAACGGTTTTCAGAAAAATCAAGTCTTTCACGGTAGCATCCCAAATCAGTTTTCGCAAAAATTAATGTTTTATTTTATTATTCAGAAAATATTGCGAAAAACGCGTACTCTGATAGTATTAAAAAGTCGGGATGTTACAATTGGTATCAGAGCACGTTTCTGCGTCTCTGAAAAGTTTTCAGTCAGTAATTTTCAGAAAAACCTGAACCGTCACGCTCACGCCTCGCCGACTCCAGGTAAGTGTTGATTCAGTTTTCAGTTATAAACATATTACTTTATCTATGCTCAGAAATCAGTAATCAGACTTAGTTAAGATGCTCGAATCAGATTCAGACTTTAGAGTTCAGATATAACTCTAGAATTCAGTATATTCAGACATGACTTTAGAGATCAGTATACTCAGGCATGACTATAGAATTTGGTATCCTTCGAGATGACTCTAGAATTCCTCAGGGTTCACGTCAGTATTTATCGGCCATTTTTGGCGACTCGTAAAGAGATCTGTGTGTCTTAGTAATCAGTCAGAATTTTATCACGTGTTCAATAATTTTAAACTTTCTCAATGTTCAGATGCTGCCCCGTAGGGAACCCGATCATCTGACTCTTACTCAGGCCACAGTAGTCGCCCAGTTCCGCGACTATCATGCCGAGAATTTCTCAGGGCAGGGAGATCCTCGCATCGTAGACGAGTGGATTCAGGGCCTGGAGTTTATCTTCGAGGTCATGGATTGCCCTGATAGATATCGCGTAATTTGCGCTCAGCTTCAGCTCACCGGTGATGCCAGGCTCTGGTGGAACGCTTACGGGAGCATGCGTCCCGGCGAGAAGGCGGGATGTACGTGGGAGATGCTCAAGGAGTTAATCCGCGAGAAGTACTACCCCACCTACTACCGAGCAGAGATGGAGCATCAGTTTCTATCGCTCCAGCAGGGTACTCGTACTGTTGACGAGTATGAGAGGGAGT